CTCTGACTGAGTGGCCTGATCTACTGGCTGCTCTGGCTTAGTTGCTTGCACCGGCACATCTGGCAGGTCTCCTCGGTTCGGTTCCCCTAATCCGATATTTTGTAATTCGGGTTCCTCGGACACCACAGGTTCAAGTTGCTCGGCACGTCCGGCAGGTCCTTCCAGCGTAGATATTGCAGGGTCAGACAACACCGGTTCGTGATTTGCAAGGAGTGTCGATCCTTGAAGCTTCGTCAGTTCAGACACCAATCCGTCTTGATGACATTGCTCACCTTCTAGCTGGTTACCCCCCTCCCCTTCACACACTTTGTCCGATACCTTCTCAGTACCAGGACCACTTACATCTGAAATAGTAGAAGAATTATGAGCTTCCCACTGAGTAGTGAGAACTATTGATTTATCCTCGTCGGGATATGTGTTTTTAAAAAGCTCTTCATCTGCATAAGAATTACCAGCGACGTCTTCCCATCCGACAAACGCATGACCATCCCTTTGGTATGCATTTTTAGTGAGTGCTTTTTCTTCACCATAAGAAAATTGCTGAGGGTCCATAGTGCCCCGCACATCGTCTGCACCCTTATCAAAAGTAACAACAAGCTTAGGAGTTATCCGCAAATAGCTTTCCGTGTTAACGTCGCTCGACCGTTTTGTTTTTTCATTATGAAAATCCGCAAGAGCACGCACAGATTCAAACACTTGCTTGTCTTGGTCTACCTCTGCACCATCCTCTCTGTTGGCTTTTCGCGCCCAGTGGGTACCAGCCCTTGTTCCGGCCTCATCAAGGCCGGCATCCTCAGCAATACGAAACGTACTTTTTATGCAAAGCTTCTTCAAAGACGGTGTGCCCTTGAACATTCCGGTCATGCTTTTTGCAGAACTAGCATCAAGACCTGGTATGTTAGCTTCTTGCAGAAGCTCAAAATCCTTAAACATCTCGACACAGGTAAGCACTTTTACAGGCTTATTTATTACAAGCATGGTAGTGTGCGTATAGTACTCACGACAAAACGGCTCTCTCCACGGAGGCGTCGCATTGACACTAGCATTCTCAGCCCAATCTCCAAGCGTTCCCGAATCTTTGCCTTCTAAGGGGTTGATATGAAGGGCATAAAGATCTTTTCCGTCGGAACCTTTCTTGTTGAGAGGAACGTATTCCCACCGGCAATCACCATAGACTCCCTTTGTACGTGCCTGTCGTACATAACATCGTCTAGAAGTATC